GTATAAAAAGAATGATAAAATGAATATGGGCAAATGTTAATAATTGGTACATCTAGATAAAGAATAAATGGGTGTTTATTAGAACCATTATATCACTTTTTATGTAAATAAACCATCCCCAAACTTAAAAAACAAAAGACCGATAATAGTAATGATTCTGATTATTATGGTAATGATAATAATGAAGGAAAAGATCAGAAGTGGGAAAAAGAAATAAAGTCAAGTCCCAACATACACAAAGTACATAATTTTATACCTTAATTCTTTTTTTAATTGTAGTTGGACACAATATCCTTATTTTGTTTATTTATTTTTATGTGGTTCTGAGGATCAAACCCAGGGCCTCGAACATGCTAGGTGAGCCCTCTACCGCTGAGCCACAACTCCAGCCCTATACCTTAATTCTTACACTAAAAAAAACTCTGAACTACCATTTCTAGAAATTATTTGTGATATATTAAAATAATTGAACACACAGATTATGGATATTTTGTCACTTAAAAAGAAATACTTCCATTTTAGTCCTTCACTGTTTCCTGAGTGTTCTGTGACTGGCTCATTTTGAGACATAGCTACTTTCTTTCAGTTCTAGTGTTCTTTGGTTCTATGATATTGTTTAAATACAATAGCCAATGCAGCTCAAGGCCAAGTTACATTGGTTGCTGTCAGCTGGGCATTTCCTAAACATCAACTTAGTACCTTAACTTCTAGATTGGAATGTGAAGATTAGTGAGGCACTGACGACACAATGAACATCCCAGATACTATTGCCAGTAGGAGCTGCTTAATCTTTAATACATTTTCATGACTATGATTTCTTTCAGAATTGCTTTCAAACCCCTTTTATTTGCATGGATAGTCCCGGAATCTTCATCCTAACATACTTTTTATTCAGTACCTGCTGTGGGGCCCTGCATAATAAATAGATGCTTAACCTACTTTGTGCACAATCTTTATGACCCTTCTTACCCCATGATCATACAACTGAAAAATGGCAGAACTCATTTTAGAATAGAGCTTTCTATTATTTTAAAGCTTGGAGACCATTCTTTATACTGTGTTACCAAAACCTAGATCACAAAATGGACATATGAGAATAGTGAAGCTGAGTTGTTTGCCTTTATGATCTACCAGAGTTAGACCCTCTGCCAAATTAGAAAATAGAAATAAAATAKAGTCTTTTTAGTACCCCAGTATTATCATTGTTACATGGTTAAATGTTTACTTCCCAACATACCCACCCACCCCCAATTATTTAAGAGCAAAGGAACTTTGTTTTATTCATCTCCATATTCTCAATCTCTAACACATGGCACTCTGTAAATGTTATTGAACTAAATTATTAATGGACCAAAGGAAAGAAATGGTTATAGTAATGGAAAACAAAACACTGTCTTAATGCTTTTTCTGTGTACTCTATGCCCCTCTTCACAGAAGCAGTTTTCTGATTACTTTGCCATTTCTACTCTCCCAAATTGGTTGATGCTGAATTCAACTCTGTTTTGCCCTACCTAAATTAAGCTCAATTAGGTAATCAGAAATCTGAAACTGGACCTCATTTATCATGCCTATAATTAAAATAGACTGTATAGCCCAAATTTAGTAGCATTTTCATATTATTGTGTTTTTTTGACAACTGTCAAAACAGCAAAAGAATTTTTTTTTTGTTATTGTTGAATGCTTATCCTGTCAGAGAGATGAGAGCATTTTAATATTATTCCATTTCCCTTTTGAAAGTTGCTGTGGGCGTGCCCCCAGTCTGAAGATCTTTTCCTGATACTCTTTTTTACCATCTTCTTTCTCACATTCAGTTTAGAGTTTAAAGTGGGAATTTTTTTTAAGTGTGTTTTCCTGGCATCTCATGTTTAACAGTGTCAGGGGTTTGTGTCCCTGGAACGAAAACTGTTTCTCCAGAGCCTTTTTTCTCTCAGCTTCTAGTGAAAAGAGGGGCGAGGCGAGCCAGTCGCTTACCACAAAGCAGTGCCACCACAAAGGAAAGATTAAGGGTTTAGAGAGAGGTCAATGTGGGTTTTTCTCTAACTAAACACTTTCCTAAAGTTTCCTTGTGGAAAAATAATGAAGTCATCTCAGAGTTTTTAAAGAATTTTTATTTCTTTTTCACCGTCTGCATTCGCTTGTCTTCTCAGCATGGATGTTTAATCTTCCTAGGCTTTGTGAATTGGCCCAAATGAATAAGTGGTGAGCTGTCTCTCTAGGAGCTAGAGGCTTATTCTAAGGGCCTAATCACTGAGTAAACACATCTTTGCCCTCCCTCTCACAACTGCGATATAATAGTCGAGATTCTAGCACAGTAACCTGGATATTGCAGGGACCAATGCTTTGAAATGCAGAATGGTTGATCCTCCAAAACAGACAGTCCCTGATCTTCGCTCGCCTCTTTCTTCTTTTTTAAATTAAATATTGCCAAAGAGATGCTGTTTTATTGCTTGATATTGTGCATTAGTGCCCTGGATTTCCAAGTTTAGTTTCAGTCAACACTGTGGGCTTCACTTATGGGGAACTCTGCATGTTGGGTTTCTTAGTAGCTTCTCTGGCACATGTGTGTTTGGTTTGGAAGAGCATTTAAATTAAATCAGTGAGATAGCGATATAAATCACTAATCTCTTTCCCAAAGTCTAAATGTTCCATTACAATGTTCTTGAGAGAAATAGGCATTTTAAAGATTTAGCAATTGCTATTGTTTGGTGAGAAATATGCTGATTTAAAAGTAGACAGCTCTCTTGTTCCCAGTGTCTCATTAAATGTAGTTGCTGAGATACGAACAAGCTGAATTAGAGGTTGACATCCCTCTGTCTTTTCAGCTAGAGATCTCCTAAGAAGAGGAGCTCTGAATTTGTTTGCAGCCAGGTTCACGATCTTTCCCTAAAGCAGCAGATTCTTGATTCACTTACTAAAACTGATTTAGCATTGTCATTGCCATGTGGTGTCTTTTTTTTGCCATGAGGCCAAGGTTAATATCAGCATTCAGGTTGTTTTCCTCAAACAGGCTGGCACCTATGCTAGTTTAGGTTGTAAAGAACTCAGAAAAAGACATAAACCTGACCCTTGAGAGACTTAGTCTAGAGGAGAAACTGGTAAACAATTTTACTAGTGGGAARAGCTAGCAACTCGGGCAAGGAAGCTCTTAACTTTGCCTAAGAGAATCAGAAATGGTTTCATAGAGGCATTTGCTTTGAACCTTCAAGGTTGAGTCAGAATTTACCAAGTAAGTATTTCTCCAACAATATATCTGATTGCAAACTTCCTGCAGACATCAACATAGATGAAGATACCCTGAGTCTTTCCTGTTCACCACTTTATCATTTGTACTTCTTCCTAGGCCTGACACAATGAGTATTTGAACAAATGCTTGTTAAATGAATGAATAAATGAATTAACACATAGAAGCAGGGTGAGATCAGCCAAACTATTTATACAGGAACCCTGTCCTTATTCCTGTTACATGCAGTTTCTGAAGCCTGGAAGCACTGATGTTGAAAGTAGTCTAGCAGCTTCAAGTTATATGAGTGCTCCCACATGCCTTGACTATGGTGTGGTGATTTCCTTGCTACATTGTAGTATCAGAGATAGAACATTAGACTTAGATTCAGACAATCTGGTTTGTAGTCCCCAGTGTGTTTCTTACAAACTGGTTGTGGAATTTAGCACAAGTCAGGGTTCTAAACCTCAGTTTCCTCATATGCTAATGAGGTTAGTACTTGTTTTACAATTCTGGAGGTAAATGTAAAAATAGCAGGATGATTTTAGAATTTTAATCTGTTTACCTTTATTTAATATATTTACCTCTTTTATAGTACAAAATTTTCTTTTGAGAAAAATATTTTAATGATTATTTTTAAGGCATTGTTACAATTTGGGTTCTTTATCAGGATACTTCCAAGCATCAGACATCATTAGGCATTCATCAGTATGAGTCTTTATTTAAGAATTACACCCAGCAAATTTTCAGTTAACGACTACCATCATATTCCTTACTTAATATGAATGGAAATATCTTAAAACTTCCTTGAAATTTTCCTCTGGCAGAATTTCGATTATTGGTTTATATGTTTTATCTTTCCTTTTCCTGATAACTGTGACTCTTAAACTCAGCTCTTCTATAAGGTAGCATTAATAAGTTAGTCAACAGAATTTGAGTTATTTCATTTTTGTCATTATTGTAGCTGACATATTGCAAATTATATTGTTCAATTTTAGTTTTTAATTTGAGTTATTTTATTGAATACCCAACTATGACAGGACGTTTTTAAGACAGCAAATGTCATTTCTTAAGAACAAGTTCTATCATGGCCAAAAGAAAAAAATAATTTTTCATAGGAGAAACTATATTGGATATCTTATAAAATTTAAACCAAAAAAGAATTCATGTCGACTGCATATTTTTAAACATCTTTTCAAATGKTAATTAAAATTACATATTCATAAGTAAGGACTTTAATATGGGAATATACTAAGCATTTTGAAATTACTAGTAGATCTAAAACAGAACTTTATTTCAGCACTTTTTCTTTCAAGTAGAAGAGACTATTCAATGTTCAGATTAAAAACATAAAGAATATGTAAGAGATGTTTTGCCATCCAATCTTAATGATTAATTTTTTTCTGCATAGTTAAATGCCTCAGAGTTAATATTTCTCTTTTACATAAAGATGTATTGAACATAAAGAATGGTAAGTCCATTTTATTTAAAGAAAATGCAATTCTCTTGCAAATTTTGCTTCCACATGTTAATAGGAATCTATGCTAGCAATCTGTAAAACTAGATGTAATCATACTTGCCTCCTTATTTAAAGTGTAAGGAGGCAAAAATTGTTTATATTGGWAGATGCTTTAGGAACTCCAAATGTAAGGTACGCTTTTAGGGAATAGCATTTAATTTTTGTCTTTGCTGTTCATTTATATTGATTATGCCTCTCCAAAATGCAAGAATCTTTCATTAATGGGTATTTTAATTGATTGGTATTTTCTCGTCTTTGCAGAGAAAGCTTCTTGCTATCTACCTCCACCATGATGAAAGTGTACTAACCAACGTGTTCTGCTCACAAATGCTTTGTGCTGAATCCATTGTTTCTTATCTGAGTCAAAATTTTATAACCTGGGCTTGGGATCTGACAAAGGACGCCAACAGAGCAAGGTAATATTCTGTTCACAAGTTGTAAGTTGGTCTTCTGTTTTTTAAAAAGTCATTATTGTGTTTGGCTTCTTGTCATCATAAATATTTTTCATCTTTAGCATTAACGCTTCTATTACATTTCATTAGATAAAAGCTATTTGTTATAACTACATATGCAGTTATTTACAATTTTGAAAACATAATTTTAAAAAGACTCTGCTTAAATTCAATARTAACCTGAAAACAAAAATATATTTCTCTTTTTTTGCAATAAGACAGATAGTATGTATTTCTAGTTTGTTGATTGTTTAAAGAAAATCAGTGTTTTTATGATGCTCATAAAAGGCAAAGCAAGTCTAACACGTAATCCTAGTAGTAAGTTTATTTTTTTAATAACTTCAGTGAAGAAGGCAGGACATTCTGGACCAGTCCAGTGAAGTTGGTAAAAGCTTAACTCTAGCATATGCTAATTGATGTAATCGCTTTATTGCACACATTCTTTTGCACACAGCCAGCAATGCATCCATATTCTCAAAAGAAAAAAAATCCCTTTCCTATTTGTCAGTATAAGAATAGTTAATTTGTTAATCATAATTTCTTTAAATGATAAGTAATTCTTCATATTTTACCTTTCTGAGTTTCCCATCTGAAATATATTTTCAATATGTGTAATTACACATGTGACTGTAACATCCCATGATGCTATTTTGGATGTGTTAACACAATCATAACACAAGACTGCGGGCTTATGAACAGGGAGGTTAAATTAATTCATTTCAAGAAAGTCTATTATAGTTACCTAATTTAAATGATTATAGATCAATTAGAAATCATCTGATTTATATTTTTATTATTTTATGTCTCACTGAATTTTTTATTATCATTCAGACTTTGCTTTATGTTATCTGAATCTGAAAAGAAAGAAAATTCTTCCCTTAACTGTGAGCCCCCCCAAAAAATGTTGAAGCAATTTCTTCATCTAATACTTAATTTCTTTAAGCAAATGGCTAGGAAATTTTCTAGGATGACTTCGTTCTGCCTTGGAAATATTCCCTGTTATACATAAATAAAGAACCTCTAGCACCTGTATTTGTTTAAATTAAATCAGGTTATTATTCACACTCAGTTAAAGGTGATGAAAAGCAGTGCCAAAAACAGATAAAAATGCAGCATCGAAGGTCTTTCATGAGGCAAAATACATAGACTGGAGACGTGGCTAAATCTTTTGCCATTCACTGGCAGTAAGGAATCTCCTCCTTTCCTTTTATCCACAACTTGATGAAGAAGGAAACACTATTTCTAAACCATCTGTAGTGGCTAAGTTCAGTGGGCTACCTGCTGTTATTTTGTTCTATCCTCCATTTAATTCCTTAGTTCCTTTTATTTTACAATGACAAAAAATTGCAGTGTAGTTTCTTTTGAAAAACAGTGTTTGAGGGTTTTTTTTTATGACTGGCAATCAACAGCCATGTAATTGCTTTGTTATGTTTTACTAAAGAAGTCTGTTAAGTAGCACAACTTTGATACACTAGTAATAAGAGTTTGCAGGTTACAGAGACACCTGTGGTGACCAAAGCGACAGAAGCTGCTTATTAGAAAGAGCCAGTACAGCTGTGTCCTATTAACTCCTTATGACACTTCTTTAAAAACACTAAATAAAGGCCTTGTTTAAGGCTTTAGAGCTATTTCTCAACGAATTGCAGGACTGACTATGAAGTATGATAAGATATTTCTGTCTTCATTTTAAAAAATGGGATATTTCATTAACTGTCATGAAAATAAAAGGAAGTGATATTATAGACTGAAAATAGAAACATCTAGGAATTCAACTTAATAAACGTTTATAGGAAACACAGAGTAATGTAGAAGAAAAGAGAACAGAATAATTCCTACAATTTTAAGATAATTGCCATACTTATTCAAAGTTCACTTCTGTTCACATTAAAAATCAAGAACTATTTTAAGCTGTGTTCCATTTTCTACATTAAAGTAACAAAACAATATAACTCTTTTTGATGTACAGTTCCATCGTTATCACTGTTAAGAAATAGGAAACATTTTTAAACACAAGATTAGCRTTTATTAGAGTGTCATATTCCCAAAAAGAGAGTAAAAGTGGGTCTCCTTTGATACATGAAACCAACAGAATTAGGCTGATTTATTGCCAAAAATGAATGTTTTAGCTTAGCTACAATTTTCTTATCAGGTGTCATAAATTCATCTGAATAAAATTATCTAATTGGGTTTCTTGCTRTATGATCTTTCTTGGAATTTTATAAACCACATTTATCCAAAGGTATTTATCATGAAAATCTATTGCATCATTTATTTGATTCTTTTAACTTTAACTAACCTCAAACTTTCATTCTCATTTTACAGAAGACTGCTTGTGTTAATATTTGTCTATCATTGGGCTACATATCAAAAATTACTACATATCAAAAAATGATGTGCCATCATTTTCATAACTAGAGAGCTGAAATGAGGAAATACAGAAGTACAGAAATGAGGAAAGTACTGAAATGAGGAAATACAGAAGTCTAGGCATCAAAAACAAGATTATAGGGRCTGGGGTTGTGGCTCAGTGGTAGAGCGTTTGCCTAGCAAATGTGAGGTACCAGGTTCAATCCTCAGCACCACATAAAAATAAATAAATAAAATAAAGGTATTGTGTCCAAATACAACTAAAAAATAAATTAAAAAAATAAGATTGTAGCCCTGGCTTTTTAACTGTTTTCTCTATAACTGCTGTAATAATAGTTTTTGAATAAATTTATGGCAGATAGTTTTTCTTGTCCCATCTTGGCTATCCTAGTTCTGACAAATCATATAAATGTAGAGGGACCTGGATCTGTAAGCTATTTAACTTGTATACTTCCCTAGTGGTTTCTAGGACTACCACCTGATGTTATACCTCTAGACACTGATGTCCAAGATGGGAAGGATCTTGCTGATCAAATATTTTTGCTTAAGGTATATTCTAATTAAGGCTACAGAAACATTAATCCTCCAAGCACAATTTACTGTGAATCTCTGGTGTGTAGAAGATAAATGAAGGATATTGAAGTCATGTGAATGCTTTGGTGAAGTTACCAGGATATTAATATCACTTGCTATTATAAATTAAATTCTAGGAGAAAGAAACTCAGAATTTATCAAATAAATATATGCATCCAATTCCATCTAAGAATGCTGCTTATAATTTCAGTGTTGCATATTTAAATGGAATTTCTTTAAAAATTCCATGGTTTTGTTGACAGCTGTGTCGATGGATTTCAGGACCATTCTTTCGTAAAGTCATAGGATGAAAACCCTAGGTTGTCATAAGAGGTGCTAGAGGGTATAATTTCTTAACTGTTCATTTTACTAATGAACCTGATAGAAGGATATACCTATAAATGAAAGAGATAGAAACAGGTAATAGTAAGCAAGGGGACCTTGCAAAATCACTCCTGGACATGACTAAAAAATATTTTAAGAAAGTTTTTATATTTCTTCACATTTATTCATTGAGTAAATATTTACTGAATATTTAGTATAAACCAGGAATGGTGCTAAGAACTGAGGATGAAAAGTTGAGCAAGACAATCCTAACTCTCAAAGCACTGATAGTCTAGTAATCAAGGCAAACAAAAGTAGCACTAGGCACAGTGGCACACACCTGTAATCCTAGCAATTCAGGAGGTTGAAGCAGGGTTGCAAGTTTAAGGCTASCCTCAGAAAACCATGACTCAAAATTTAAAAAATAATTTTAAAAGTCACACAAAAGAGATAATATATAATGTATGTGAAAGGTGCTTCAGGAGTAAACCCCATAGGAAATTGTTACGCATAAGGGAGTCAGAGAAGGACTTTAAAGAGATGACACACAGAAAAATGTGAATAGAATTTTACTTTTTCTATTCAAAAATTTTTGTATTAGTAGCATTCCTAGTCTATTAGGTTGTGGCTTTTTTATTCTTTACAAAGAGTATTGGTATTATTTAAAGCATCATAATTAAGTATCTGGAATGAAGGGTCAGTGCTTGAGATAATTGTTGAGGAAAGAAAGATGGAAGGGAACTGGCAACTAATATAATCCTGTATGGTCTGAACCAGATTGAGGATTAAGCCAATCAACTGGGAGGGACAGATCCAAAAAAGTTTTGTTATTGATCCATCCCAGTATGCTTACAAGCAGTTGGTGGAACAGAGATCAAATATCTTTTGGATGCATAATACGTAGAAAACCATCATGGTTTAACTAAAACAATAAAAATATTTTGAGTACAATGTACTCTTAATGAATTAGTACTTAGCTGTGAAAGGATAATTTCTTAAAATTCAGGACAAATATCACTTCCTAGAAGCCTTGGCTTTCCTCATCTTCCACTTCAGTCTGGGTTCAAAATGCACTTTCTATGTGTTCCCATAATATTCCTATAGTAGCTTGCTTTAATAGCACTCATTACAGTGTACAGTTATTGGTTATCTGCCTACAAGGTTGTCAGCTCCCTAAGGGTGGTATATCTATAATCTTATACATTACATAATGCCTTTTAAAAATTAAATACTGGGACTGGGCTGTGGCTCAGTGGTACAGCACTTACCTAGCACATGTGAGGCATTGGGTTAGATCCTCAGTACCACACACACAAAAAAAATACCTAAACAAAATAAAGGTATTATGTCCATCTACAACTAAAAAAAATAATAATAATTTTTAAAAATTAAGTACCAAATTGGTAATAAATAATCTATATCAAGCTTATTGTGAAAGCAGTGGAAATTAAGCTTGGGTAATGGCAAGAGCATTGGTCCTCTAACTGTGTCATCTTCCTCTGTAACTACTAATAGGACTAATAAAACTACAGCCTTTGTTTCCTTGCATAATGAACTTAAAATGTCCAGGCTGAATACTTTGTCTTCTGCAGTCCCTAAAGGAGTCCTAAAATATCATGGCCTGTACCTAGGGCCATACATACCTCGAGACCATCTGAAAAAGGGATTGAATTCCAACCTACTTGAGTTCATTTAAGGGT